CACAGTGGCCTGCTCTTTCCAGACCAGCAACCCCATGTGAGAGTGGCCTAGACAGAAGCCACAGTTTTTTTATAACCTAATCTTGGAAGTGACACTTCCTCACTTCTGCCATGTTCTATCCTCTAGAAATGAGGCACTAAACTCAGCCAACACTCAAGGGGCGCAGATTACATTGGGTGTGAATGCTAGTATTCAGGATCATTGAGGTCATCTCAGAGCTGCCTGCCATGCAGCCATAACCCAGTCTTCCAGCAAACACTGCCACCTCTGGGTCCTCTTTTGCCAAATGTCCTCTGCTGCACCTTAGCATTTTTCACTGATATGCTACATATTGACTTGTTTATTTTGATTATTTTCTGTTTTCTCACAAGGATGTAAGCTTCCTGGAGGCAGGGAATTTTTTCTGTTCATTGTGCCTCCAACACCTAGAACAAAGCCTGGAACACAGTAAGCCCTCAACAAATATTCAAATAAATGACTGAATTAAATTCTTTTTGTTTTATTTACTGAAAGCTACCCATTATGTTTCTGTTTTTCTAGTATTTACTTTTAAAATTAATACAAAAATTTACATTTTTCTACCAAGTCTAAATGGAAGCAGTGACTATATTTCCTCTATCATGACATAAGGATGATAGTGTGCTTCTATTCCACTCTTCTCCCTCTTGCAACTTCCCAATTTGCAATGATCTGAAATTTTAACTATATTCACTTATTCTTTCATTCATCCAAAATTTATTGAGCATCTACTAAGTTTCAAAAATTTTTAGCAATTAAAAACAATTCAAATCTTGTTCTATATAACACCAGGAGTATATGTGACACAGGTATATTTATTTATCAGAATTGTATAGTTAATATTTATATATCTCAACTAAGAGACTGAATATACAAGTGAACAATGACCCAACCATACATAAAATAGAACTCTGACCCACAGCCTGCAGAAACCTGCCCAGGAAACCAACCCCTTGTATACACTAATGAGCCCTGCTATATGTCTGACTGGCAGGAAGCCAGATTGCTATCTCTGGTGACAATATAGGAAGTTAAAGTTCTGTAACAATTAGCCCCAAATGGCAAGGCCTTGATTAATGACCAAACACCTTCCCTGATTCTGGTTCCAATTTACAACTTAAGACCAACTTGAGAAAGCCAGATGTGCACCCCCTAATCAATGACATAGGATGACTCACTGATCATTAGCCCAGGGAGTTTCCCCAGGCCAACAGCATCCAAGCAGGGGGTAGATGACACCTTCGCTTTTTCCACTAGAAGGCTTTCCCACTGTGAGTATCCTCAGACATGAGAGCAACTAGGGCCAGCTTCCTTGCTGTCACAAACTTGGAGTAAATATCCTTTGCTTTTCTCATTGGGGTGGTCTTTGTTTATTTCTACAAAATATATGTAAATTTTACCTTCAAAAGTAGTTACTGAGTAGAGTGAGGAGTTGATGGAGGTGTAGGTGATACAAGAATAACAAAGGGTGATAATCGTCACATCTGGGTGATGGCACTTAGAAGTTCATTGTACATTCTGCTTACTTTCCATATGCTTGAATTCTTCCATGATAAAAGTTTAAATATGACAGCTGCTGTTTCTCCTTCTCTATATCTTTCCTTTGGATCCATTTCTCTTTTTGCTAGAAGTCATCCACTCATCCAGAGAGATGTACTGAGGGTCTCCCGTGTGCCCATCTGCTCCAGGCTCTAGGGTGGCAAACCACACAGCAAGTCTTGCTCTCAGGAGCTTGTGCTCGAGTGGGGGAGGCTGGCAATTAAACAGATAAATGTATTCTGCATCAGGAGGTGATGAAATCTGCTCTCCTAGCTCTACAGGTGCAGAACCATGAGGATGGAGGGGGCGGCAACAGGGCTCCATCAATAGGGGCTCCGGGCCAGCTTTGAGCAGGGATCTGAAGGAAGTGAGTGAGGAGCATGTCACTCTGGGGGGAGGGACACTCCAGGCTAGGCCCTGAGAAAAGACTGCCACGGAAAGACCTTGGCTGTTCCCTGGTATAGCTGTTGGCCTGCCTGTCTTCAGCCACAGCTGTGGGGACAATTCTGTGCATGCAGAGTCACCTCCACTACAGTGTCCCCTTTGAGCCATGCCCTGGGTCTTTCCCTTTTCTCCTGGGGTCCAGGCAGACTAGAGGTACAGTGAGGTAAAGCTGGGGCAACACTTATGTAGGGGGGCAGGAGCATGGACAATGCCACAGCTGTGCATCCTCCCAGTGAATGATTCTGGAAGATTCTCAGAAGGTCCCAGAGCCCAACCCCCACTCATAATATATCTCTATTGATTTTTCTTCCCTTTGTCACCCCTGCCTCCTGGCATCACCTCCGAAATTAACTACCTGCCCCAAGTTATTATCTCAGGCCCTGCTTTGGGGGGACTAAGGCAACATGGCTGTGGGCTCCAGGACCCTCAGGGAGGTGACCATGCCTGGAGCACAGGGAGGAGGAAGGCTTTGGGAGATGAGGTTGGCAAGGTGGTAGGCTGGGTCCTGTGGACACTGAAGGCCATTTAGAGGCAGTGGGTTTTCTTTAGAGGGAGAGAGATGAGGAGCAGGCCAGAGAGTACACCACAAGTGAAGGATTAGCTTCTGTGTCCATATAATCACTGCATTGAAAATGATCAGCAAGGGGCCATGTAGGGCTGGAGACCTGTCAGAACCAATTGCAATGGTCTAGTTGAGGGCCAGCATGGCTGGGACCCCTGGGTGGGGTAGGAAGGTTTGCTGATAAAGGGTAAGGACAGGGTCCCAGAGGCTCAACTTCCAGAGTTTTGAATTGAGCACCTGGAAGGATGAGGTTGCCACCTGCTGTGATGGGGAGCAGGTGTTGGGGGAGAGGTATGAGTGTTGGGCATAGATCAGGAGTTGGTACAAGTTACCCCTGTTGCCCTTGAGTTGCCTTTTGAGGGTCAGAGTGATCCTGGTGGGCAGCATCAGCTCACAGATGCACGAGAGCCACAGCCCAGATGAGATCACTGAGGCAGGAGTGTAGACAAAGAGGACCAAGAGTGGGGAATCCCTGGACATTCCGAAGTCCACACATCAGGATGAGAGGGTGGAGCTGGCTGGGGTACTGGGGGACAGGGGCGGGTGGTTAGTGAAGTAAGATCCAGGGATCTTCTGTGTGGGCTGGAGGCCCCCTTGACCACCTGCTGCTGTTCCACTGGCCCCAGCCAGGGAGGGAAAAGCTTCCAGGAGGGAGTGACTCACCATATCAAGAGCAGCCAGCAACCTGGAGGTCATAGTGGACCTGGACACGAATATGTCTCCCAGTCGTGCTGAGATCTGGAGAGGAGTAGTTGGCACCCTCTTGGGCCTTTGCACCTCTGAAATGTCCTCACTTTCCATGCCATTAGCTCTCAGGGAAGGAGGATAGAGACCTTTTTCTTTATGGTTTTTTATTTCTCAGTTTTCTGGTTTGAGCAGATGTTATTTTTGCATAAGAAAAAAAAAACACCCAGTGAATTTTATTTTATTTAAAAGTCAAGTTGGGTTCCAGAGTCATTCTGGATCCCTCATACTGTGGTAGGTTTGGGACAGCCTCCTGGCCTCAGCCCGGTCTGGGGACTTCACATCCAGCTGGGGACAGGTCATCTGGGCACTGGCTGAGCAGGACTGGATCTCCACATGATCCTGAGCATCCCCTGCAGAGAACCTGTTGCAGAGAGGCTGTGTGCTCAGTGAGTCTCTGGGCCCCTCTGTGGCTGCTCCTACCTCTGTCCATGAGGACATCACAGTGGCCTAGGTGCACAGGGCTGGTATGAGACAGAGGGGCACCGTTAGCCATCATTCTGCACATCAGTAATGACCTTCCTATGGAGCAGACATCTAGGTCACCGCAGCTTGGCTTGAGGGCTGGCTGGGAAGGTCTGCTGGGAGCCACAGTGAGTGTTCATGGGTGACAGGGATTGACTCAACATCCACCTGTTAGGTGGTCACTGAGCACCCGCCACATGCCATCCTGTCCTGGTTACAGGGTATGCACCAGTTACCAGAAGTGAGGGCAGAGTGGGATCAGGGGCAGTGGGACAGCTGTGAGCATGCACGTGATAGACTTGGGGCCCAGAACTGTGCTGGTGCAGGGCACCCCTTCCCCCATAAGGCTGAGAATGGGGAGGGGCCAGGCCCTGGGGACCCCTTGTAGAAGCATCCAGGTCCCAGTGGGGAGCCTGAGACTAGAGACAGAAGGGGTGGCCAATGGACTGGTGGGTGCCCTTCTCCCAGGCCTAGTCCTGCTCTCTGCTCCCTGTTCCTCCTTCACTAAACACCCCACCTTCCCTCACCCTAACCGTCCACACCAAGCTCCTTGCCTACAGATGCCTGGTACTGTCTGGGTGTGTGCCAGAAGGACAGACCATGGAAAATGGCCCCTCAGGAGCTATTTACAACACAGCTCTAAAGGTCAGTGCGAACCATGGGACATTACCAAATCAGTGGGGTGCCAATGTGGTAAAGTAAAGAAAACAAACATGAAGGTCACTGACGGTAGCCTTGAGTGGCTTTCTCTGGGTCCTGGCTTCTGCGGTGACAGTTCTCTGGAACCAAAGAGCCCTACGGGGTGGGCATCAGCCCTGCAGTTTCTGCTGGCAGCTGCTTCATCAGCTGCCCTCTCGGGCTGTGGCCCAGGCTGAGGGAAATCTCCTATTACTTTGTTGTTTTGCTAGATTTTCCTGTCTTTTCCAAATTGTGCATGAAGAATGAGTTACTTGTATAATTTAAAAACCAGTACTTTCCTAAAATCAAGAGAACGTTTACAGTTCACTTTTAACCACAACAGAGGCAGCTCTGGCAAGGCCTGGGCTGGGTAAAATGAATTTCCAAGGGTCCCTCTGGTCAGAGCCTGACCCACTGCCCGAGTCTCCGGGCATGTAGCAGAGCAGATGAGTGGGGCTGCTGGTAATTTATTGCAGGGCCTCTCAGTTTGGGCCTGTAATCTTGGCCTCTGTGTCTCACCCTGTTCCCCACCTCTCCCATTTTTCTTCTTCCAAAATGACCAAAAGAAATACAACCTCCCATTTCAGTGAAAAAAGAAAAATTCATCTAAGTAGGCTTTTAATAAAAACAGAGGCTCTCCTTTGATCAAAAAATCAATTAGTCAGTGGAGAATTTTATTAGTCAATCATATAAGTAATTAAAAGTATTGATTGATGGGGGTGCCCATGGCTGAGAGCTGCTGCTTTGCCCCAGCAATGGAGGCAGTGGCTGGTGTGGGGGCGCTGGGAAGCGATCTAGAGTGGAGGCTTTGGCGTCATTCTCTGCTGTGCCTCTTCCAAGGTCAAGCCGGGACACATTAGACAGGGGCCTCAGCTGATCCCGGGGCCTCAATTCTCTCATGTGGGAAGTAACAGTCCCCACTGCACAAGGTTCTCCAGTCGATTAGAGGGGCAGAGTTTGAGCAGTGAGAGGCACAGCCACTGGCTTAGGGAGGGGGGTTTATTCCTGAGGATCAAGGAACTCTGGACTCCAAGTCTAGCCCTGCCTGGACCTCAGGCTAGGAGGGACGGAAAGGCACTTGGAGATGGGCCTCACTGGGTGGGGGCTCTCCCAGGTCCATCTGATGAGAGATGGAGTGGGAGATGCAGGCACTCAGCCTCCCATGCTCGGCACGTGACTCTCAGAACCCAGGAAAAAGGCCCAGCTCCAGAATGCTGATGTCATTTGTCATTTCTCACTATGTACCAGATCACTCCATTTAAGCTTAGTGGCTTAATGACAATGTTGGTTTAGCTCACAACACTGCAAATTGGCCTGGGCAGGTTTGGGACAGTTCATCTCTGCCCCACTCAAGTCAGCTGGGGCCGCTGAAGGCTTAGGACTCCCAGGTCTGGCCATGGACACAGTTGCTGGAGCAACCCCCTGGGGGCCCTGGGCTTCCTCACAACACAGTGGCCAGGTTCCCAGGGAGAAGCTCCGGAGAGAAAGAAAACTGGGCAGAAAATGAATTGCCTTGTCTGACCTAGTCTGTGATGTCACCTGGCATCTCTTCTGCAGAATTCTATTTATCCAGGCAGCCATGAGGGCCCCTGCTGCCCCACACCCCGAGCTCTGCCCTGAGTACATGGGGAAAAGGAAAAGAGTTCTGTTGGTGGGGGATTGGCAAGGTTTTGAAAGAGCGTGTGGGACTAGAGATACTTCTGTGGCCATTTTTGGAGAATTACATCTGCCACACTGAACCCCCTCCCCTAGAGGCCCGAGGACTGAGTCCCTGCAGTGAGAACAGCCTGCCTTGGTCCCCACTTCAGAGGTCCTGAGAAAGGGACCAACCCCCACTGACTGAGCGCCCTGCCCCATGCTTGGCACCCCAGCACACCATCTGGCCCTTTTCCAGCAGCACATGAGGTGAAATCACCGCCCAGATTCATGGATGAGGAAATGGGGATCTGGGAGGCTCTATGACCTACAGTCCAAAGTTCCAGGGGTACCAGTGTACCAGACTCAAGTCCAACTCCCCAGACCCCACAACCTGCACCCTTCTCCCCATGTGGTGGTCCTGGAGGCCCTGTCCTGGCTGGGGATATGACCCCGGGCTTCGGTCCTGGCTCTTCACCTGCTCATGCAGGCTTGGCAACCTTGCCTGTACTGGACTCCATTTCCTGCATTGGTGATGGGTTTGGTGCCTGCAGTGAGCCACCAGGGCCAGGAAGACCACCTTCACCACTGCCCTGACAGTGGCCCACTGGCCCTCTGAGCAGCTCCGACCTGCCGGCCGGAGCCCATGGCCCTCTCTCCAGTAGGCTCTGACATACTGCAAGCCTTGGAAGTGGCTGTTTACTGGACACCAAATCCACAAAGTTCATCTGAGCCCACACAGCACCCTGAGACGCTTTCTCAGCTATGGTGGCAGCCTGGGCCCTGAGCCCTGCTCAGCTGGTGGCTGCAGCTGGACCTGCCCCTGGAGGAGTGGGGATGCTGTGGTCCCTGGCAGGATCTTGAACCCTGATCAGATTCAGCTTCCTGATCCCTGTGGGGGTACTGAGCCAACAGCTGCTCCTCCAGCCCCCCACCAGGCCCAGGCCCCAGTGTGTTAGGCACTGGTTGTAAGTCCCCCTTACTGGAGAGGGTCTCTTCCCTGTCCAGTGGACACAGTGAGGGATCGAAGGGCCCCCCTTACCTTGGCAGGCTCCTTGGGATCATACTTCAGTGGTGTCTCCCATAACTCAGAGATCTGCATAATGGACAAAAGGAAGATGGGTTCCAGGAGGTGGATCAGCCCTGCCTGAGGGTCCTCAGGAGGGAGGCCCATTTGATGGGAGTCCATCCTCTAAGGGCTGTCTAGGACAGTCACCCCACACCAGGCCCAGGGTCCACCTGCCCCTTCCTCCCCAGGGACCCTGCAAGCCCTGCCTCTGGGCTCAGCTGTCATGACCCTAAATGCTCACGCTGACAGGAAGGAGTTCACGCTGCCTTTCTGCCACACAATTTTCCAAAGCCACCTTGGAAAGCAGGTCCTGGGGGCGCTTGTTCTCAGGCTGCTTGTCCTTTGTAAAAATTGACTATTTATTTAGACTAGTTGACATTTCCAAGGTCTGTTATTAAAGAAAATATCCTGGGGAGAAGGCAGGATGTTTGCACAGAGCTTATGCCCTCTGCCTCTGCCCCTGGTGCTCCAGAGAAAACGGCCTGCACACCACGGGCCTGCACACATACATACCCTCCTTCCCTGAGAAGAAAGGGAGGCAGGTACCCCCCTCTCCCTGCAGATGCAGGGGCCTTCCAGTCTCCCCTTGGTCCTGTGCTGGGCTCTGAGAGGCAGGATGGATGGGGGGCCAGATGAGACACTGCCTTTCTCCTCAGTGGGCCTGCAGCTCATGGAGCAGGTGCCTGCTGGGGGGCACCAGGCTAAACTCACATCTATGTTATTCTCTAGGATCCATTTCAAGGGCTACATCCTTCCTGGGCATCCCCAGTCAGATGCACCTGAGACTGAGGAGCATTCCTCCTCAGCCCTCAGCCAGGCCCTCTGAGGAGGTGACGGTACTCAGGGTCTCCCTCCTCCCAGCACTAGTTCACAGTGTCATGACCAGTGACCGGGGTGTGGGTCCCCGCTCTGCCACTTACTGGCTGCATGACTTTGAAGCCCCCTACTCAGCTGCCTACCAGCCGTGCCCTAGGGTGCTTCCTGCACACTCTCAGCCCTCCCAGGGTGGTGCCAAAAGTGCCCTCATCTCCCCATGTGCCTGGGATGCAGGCCAGGTGCAAGGGCCCGGGGAAGAGGCAGGAAGAGCTGGCTCAGGCCTGCACCAAGCGGTGCCTGCATGGAGCGCCACAGACTGGGCTGATATCCCTTCCACAAGTCAGCCTTTGGACAGACTGCTTTCTCTCCATGGACCCATTCAGGCAGTATCTTTGAATGTCTGTGCAAACATCCCCACTCCAGCTCATGCCTGCAAATCACGGGCTGCATTTCCATTTTGATTGGCACAGGGCTCCAGGTGAGACCAGCTGCTGACCCTCCTCAACTGCTGCAAAAGGGCTGTGTGTTTGCATATCAGGAGAGCTCTCCTGCCTCCTTCCCAAGACTGAGCAGGGCCTGGGGCTGCCCGGTGGCCCACTGTCACCCCGTCTGAGCAAGTGGGGTTGGGGGGATGTTGTGGGACTGCAGCCCAGATCCCACTTGCCAGGAATCACCACTGTGGGCACTCAACATTTTAGTGTTGTCAGAGTAGGAGCTCCTAACGGCTGAGAACCTGCCGGAGGGGTTGGGCAGGACAGGGGGGATAAAGAGGACAAGGAGACACAGGGGCAAAGACAGGGAGGGGCACATGCATCTGCCTGGATGGTGTGTGGTGCGTTTCTTTCCTGGCTGGGAGAGGCCTGGTACCCACCCTGCCTTCCCCCTCTTGGGCTCTTTCCATACAGACACAGAGGGACCACTGGTGTCTCTGGGACAGTGGAAGAGGTAGTGATGGGTGGAGAGTGAGTGGCACAAACTTTTCCAAATGCTAAAGTTCCCATGGAGTCTGTTCAGACTGTACCACACAGCACAGGAGTCAGTGGCCTCTTGCCTGTGGTTCTCAGGCTCCTGGGTAGGGACTGGGACTTGGCTATAGTGGGATGGCCAAGGGCTAGGAGGGACAATGGGAAGGCAAGGACCAGGTTGGAGGCTTCCAATCCAACGTGGCAGGTCCTGGTCTGTGAAGGGAGAGGCATGGGTGATTCTGGGCACACTCAGGGGCAGAACCAGGAGCAGAGGGGACAGACACATGTAAATGGCAGTTGGAGGCTTTGCATAGCCGGGGATCCCAGAGGAACTGAGTTCCCCCACTCTACCCTGTGGGCGAGTAACTGAAGCCCCATTTGGCTACTGACCAAAGACTGGGACCCGTGAAGTCCTGGCAAGGATCTTAAACTATAGGAGATGAGACCTGATAGGGCAGAGCTTTCATTCTGGGCCCAGGTCTCTCCTTTGGGGCACACTTATTGTCACGGGTGGCCAGCAGTGGGGGACAGTGATGAGAGCCTCCCAGACACCCAGACCAGCAAGTCAGGGCACCCTTGGGCAGAGGCAGGCTTGGAGAGGGGTAGCCAAGTGCCTGGGAGCTGGCTGCTCTATGGCATGGTCTCAGTCCTGAGGGGCCACCATGTCCCAGGACCAGGGGAAGGGGCTGGGGTCAGTAGGAGTCACCCCACTTCTGCCTACTGCCCAGTTCTAGTGAAGCCCAGAGTGAGGGGTTCCTGGACCTGGGCCCTACATGCACATGCAGAGACCAAGCCAGGAGACAGGAACTAGGGTCCTCCTCCCCTTACTGGCTGAGGCTGGTCAGAAGAGGGCTGCTCAGAAGAATGGGAATGGTTACTGGACGTGTCACAGCTGGACAGGTGTAGTACCTGGGGAAGAAAGCCAAGCCCTGTCTTTAACTTTGAGAATTTGGAGCCGGCATGATCTCAAAGCTGGTCCTGTACCAGGCTGAAGAACACTCATGCAGAGGTCCTGGTGGAAGCCCAGCTTCAGCAAGCTTCTCAGATGCGGCCGCCAGCTGCAGGGTGGAAGCCAGCTCCCTACCTCCTGTGGTTTGTGCTGACAAAGCCTGGCATGGCCCCTGCCTGCCTGAGCTTGGGGAAGTTGCCCCAGCCCTCAGGGCCTCAAGGCTGAGGTTTGACCGGGGCTTCCAGTGCTGGGGGATGAATGAGTCAGGAGGGGCTGAACAAGGGCTGAGATGTCACTTGGTTAGAACTTCGTGAGGGGTGGGCCTGCCCCCATCCCAACACACTCTTCTGCAGCTGCTTCCTACCTGGGAAAATCAAAGGGCCTCCCACCAGCCTCCCACATCCCTGATTAGTACACTCAGGAGGAGGGGGAGGAGCAGCTGGAGCTGCTGGGAAAGCCTGGGACTGGGCAGGAGGAAGGGGAAACTTCAGGCTGAGTATCAGGTGAGGGAGGCCCCAGGGGTGGGAGGCCACTCCAGCAGGTACTTGAGTCCTAGGCTGGTCTCTGATGTCCTTGAATCGCCCTTACCCTACCTTAACTCACTGTGTACTCTGGGTTACCAAGTTCCCTTTCCTGGGCACCAGCTAGCTGAACTTCCAGCCAGCAGAGCTGGTCTACTCCACGGTTCTCAAATGTGTTCCACAGAGCCCAGGGTTTCCCAGGAGGTGTTTAGGGTTATAGAGGGGTGGGTAATAGTGTTGAGAGGTTGGGGGTGAATTCTGACCTCTCATCTTAGTTTAGGAAATGGGAAGCCACAGGATCCTTCCCCACAGGACTTTCTGAGATTCTCTAATGCTGCTCTGTGGACTGGCCTCCCCACTTCTGCCTCAGTGCCCCCAGCCAGCCTAACAGGCCCACTCCATTCTCCTTCTTCATTCTCACCACCATCCCGTCCTGGACAACACCACCTTGCCCCTGGACCAGAGCAGAAGCCTTTTGCTGGCCTCCCCAACCCACTCTGGGCTCCACAGCGCCCCTTCTCCCTGTTCACATACATTATTAGGCAGAGCCAGCTCTCCAAAAGAGACCCCCTGTTGCTAGCAGATAAATTCCACATTCCTTCCAAGGAAGGTCCCTAGGGCCCTTCCTGTCCACTTGTCATTCTTCAGCCTCTTCCTTCCTTGGGACCACACTGCCCATTCCTGGGGTGATTTGCCCCCCAGGGAACCCCTGCCCTTTTCTTTCTGATGGGTCCCCTTTCACCTCCTCTCCTGTTGTACTTGCTCTCTCCCTTCAGTTCAGCACAGCTGTCTTCTCTCCAGAAAGTCACTCCCTGAGCATCCTATCATCCCATGTGACTCACACCTCCCCAGTGAACTCTTTGACCCCTGTCCCTGTCCCCGTGCCTGCTTGTCACAGTTGACTTGGTCACTGTCTCTCTCCTAGGAGAGATAGAGACTCACCTGCCTGACACCTGCACTGAGTGGTCCTTGCTTTGAGCATACCCGTCTCCTGCCCTGCAGCAGGCTATCAGCTCACTGAGGGTGGACACCATGGTCCTGTCATCATGGACCCTGTTCCTTATGCCTCCATGCTGGGCACTGTGTGATGCCTTGACTCACGTGGGCTCAGTTCACTGAGGGTCACAGAGCTGATGTTTCCCCATTTGACAGATGAGGAGACACTTCCTGGAAGAGTGAAGGCTCAGCTCCGCAGGGCACTCCGAGTGGAGGAACAGCAGGACCCAATGCTGACTTAAAGGCCTGTGCTCTGAGCCCACTGCTGACCCTTGGCTGAGGCCCTGTGTTGGAAGAGCTGCACCTGGCCTGATGCCCAGCGGCTCTGCTACATGTGTTCTGTCTTGAACCCTCCAAGGGGACATCTCCGATGATGCGACACTTGCACTGTGATTTCCTGTGATGTAATTAGCTCCCCAGAGCCTGGGGAAGCCCAGCAGTGGGTGGGGCTGCCCTACAGGTGTGCCTCAGCTCCCTTGGGACTGGGGGATCTGGTGCAGAAATGCAGCAAGTTTAGTCTGCTTTGTAGAGACAGTATGGTGGCTGCCTAAGAACTTTGGAAACCCAGAGACCCTGCTTCCTGGTGCATGACCCTGACACATGAACTGGCCTCTCAGCATACTCATCCGTAAAACAGGGATAGCAATCCACCTCCTCCCCAGGCTCACTGCGAGGACTAAAATTCATGACAAGTGCTGAGGGCCACACCCACACAGAGAAGGTGCTGGAAAGTGCCCCTGCTGAACAGTGAGTAGCTGGTTCTGGGTAGACTAAGGGTGGGGGCGTGCAGGAAGGGTCTTTGGAGTCCAACTCACTTAGTGGAAGAACTTCAGGAATCTAGTAACCTTGTAGGTAACCTTCTCTTCCCTGATTTCTCCAAGAGGCAGATGTGAAGATCTTGTGATCGGATGTGGGCCAAGAAGCCCACCTAGGTACTCGCATGGCTGAAACCTGAGCCCCGTTCAGGCCTCCGCTGCTTGGTGTGGGCCTATATGAGGGACCTGACTTTTCTTCCAGTCCCTGGGAAGAGGGAGAGCACTAGCCCTCAGAGGTCCTGACAGGTGCTCTGGGAGCTG